ACCGCCATTCCTGCTTCTCTTTCCTCCTGTCTACTCATGCAGCTGGCAGGACTGTTATAAAAAGCGGATTATACAGTTAGTCACATACTTGAAACATGTCATGAGTTCCCATACATTTAGGGTAATGCCTGCAGCCCCATGTGGTCTACACGCCCCGTGTGAACTGGCTTGTGCCTGACACCGGCCTCCGCCCTCTCCCGCCACCTCTGCAGCTTTATTTTGTTCTTCCAGCGCCTCCTAAGAGTCGGGCTCTTCCCATCCTCAATATTGGTATATGTGATTTTTTTCTACTTAGTTTCCCACACTCCCTTGACCTGTCAAATTCCTGCTGTCATTTCTCAGAGAGGCCACCTCCCAATGTTCTTCTGTACATTAAATATTCCCGTCATTTTCATTGCAGTGATTGCCACACGTAACACCAACGTTTATTGCATTTACCAACACGACCGGGAGAATAACTGTTTAATGCTTGTCTTCCCCTGGACTGCGGACACTGCAGGGCAGGTCTTCTCGTTTGCAGCTGTAGCTGCAGCGTCTAGCACAGCGTTATATACAGAATGGCTGCTCAGAAAATGAACAAATGAAAGCAGAGTCTCAGGAACGATGACAAAGTTTACCTGAACATGTACATGAGATATAAATGAAGGGGACTTTTCATTTACACCTTTTCAGATCTGAAGCTTTTCCGCTGAAAACAGGTAGATTGGGTATCAGGATCTCTGAGTATCTTGCAGCTCAGCCAATCAGGGTAGGCAAACGTTTACTTAATAAGCTGCTCTGGCCAAAGCTCATGCTCTCATTTTCAGAAATACCGTCCCTGAATTAGAAGCAGCATAAACACCATGCCAGTGTTACACGGTGAATGAAACGTTAGAGCACAGGCAACAACATCCATCCCTGTCCTCTGTTGTTGCTGTTCTTCTTCTCCACGACTGTAGCAAATACACAATCTGTAATGTCTGAAATAAATGTGCAGCAAACAAAACGCGAGATGAGCTGACCTAACTCTCGGCTGCCAGCGGCTTGTTAGACCACAAGAGGGAGCTGTTGAAACTCTTGTTATTAAGGAAACAATGGCGAGAGAAGAAATTTGGCAATCCTAAGGTGGGCCAGATGGGCACCTATTTATATGATATTGACTCTGGAATTCCATTTATTTTTAAGCTACAAAAGTTTTAATTCTTTTTATCTGCAATGTAATTAGCATTTTAAATAGTGATATTAAAGACAGTGAGTTCTTTTTGCCTTAAAAGCCTAAAGCCTCATTTAACTAGTTTGGAAAAGTATAAATATTTAATCAAGGGAGGAGGATATGCAGACGGCTTTCATCCTGAATCTATTTCCTAAATACTTATTAATAAACAGCCTCATGAACAAATATGCTTTTCTTTAAAAAAATACTGTTTCTTTCAATCGTAAGGTCTTAAATATGTGGGCAAGTCAGATTTTTTTTTAAAAAAGATAGACACAAACTATGACTTAAGAACTCCTTTCTTAAGAACACTGCAGTCTAGTTATATACATATTTCCATTCTATGAGTCACACTATATGACAGCTGCCCCTTCCAACCCTCCCTGTCACCCTGACAATTAATGCAGTTAAATTGTCTAAAGGAACCTGACTCAGGGGCACAATATGTTTTTCTACAAAGGGGCCAGTGAGAGGGCACATTGGCGGGGGTCAGATGACCAACTGAGTGTCTACATAGGCCAGGCACTGTACTTAAAGCACCAGAGATGGACTAGATCATTAATTCCTTCCAAAGCTGGAGAGTAGCTTATTTTAGAGACAAGAAAACAGAAAGGTTAAGTGACTTGCAGAAGATCACAGACGTATGAAGTGGGGGAGCCAGAATTTGAATTCCCCTGCACAGTACGGCTCACTAAATGTGATTCTTCTCAGCTGGCAAGTCTGATGGTGAGTGAAAGCCTCAGGCCTCCGGCTGAAATGCTTCTTTCCCTGCAATGGGCCAGATCTGTACACTGTTATCTTCATTTCGAGCAATGGGATTCTGCCAAAATTCTTTTTTTTCTGTAAAATGTTTTGTCCTAAGAAGGGAGAGAAAGGTTTTGTCACTGTACACGGGACACTATATCCAGGATGACTGTCAGTGAATAGGAAATGTGGCAAACATGATGGTTTTCTGCTGATTCACTTGAGTGATGTCAAGACACATGGGAATACAGACAGACCTATTTGAATCACAGACATCACTCAATGTTGAAAGGGAAGCCACCAGAATCTTCTAAGGCAGAGGACTGCTAAAACATTTCAACATTTTACCATAGTGGTCCTAGAACCTGAGTGGGTTTTGATTAAATATTCAAACTTGTCCTGGGAGCAGAAACATAAATGTCATCTTCCTGGCTCATGGTGGGACTGTGACCCATTTGTTACAGGGGAATTAGGGGCTAAGAATCCTCCTGCCAATGATTATCTATTGCTATTCTTCATTTCCTCCTTACTCTACCCCAGTCCTATTCCTAACTGGAATCTTTAAGTACTTAGAAAACATTGCTGGCCAGACGCAGTACCTCATGCCCATAATCCCAGCACTTTGGGAGGTTAAGGTGGAATCAACTGCTTGAGCCAAGGAATTCAAGACCAGCCTGGGGAACATGGCACTCTCCTGTCTCTACAAATAACTTAAAAAACAATAGCCAGGCTTGGTGGTGTGCACCTGTAGTCCCAGCTACTTGGGAAGCTGAGGTGGGAGGATCACTTGAGTCCAAGAATTCAAGGGCTACAGTGAGCTATGATCACACCACTGCACTCTAGTTCAGTCTGGGTAACAGAGTGAGACCCTGTCTTCCACCCCCACACCCCCTCCAAAAAAAAAGGAAAAAAAAAAAAGAAAAGAAGAAGAAAACATTGCTGATTTTCCTTATTATAGTATTTATGAACAAACAACAGTTCTGAATACAAAAGTAAATGATCCAAATCTCATCCTTTAATCTTTTGTAATGTGTCTTCAGGTCTCCACTCAAATTTTTCCCGTAAGTCAGACACAATTTGAGAGTTTTTAAGAAGCCCTAAAAGTCATAGTATCTTAGGATTCCTAGATTTTATCTTGCTAGCTCTTTTAATTTCAGTGGTTAACCAAGTACAGCACCAGGGCCAGGATGTCACATGATTTTGACTTCAGAAATGTGTATTAAAATATGGCAGTAGGAGCGAGAAGTTTCACTGGAAGTAGGTGTAGGCATGAATCTCAGGCATTCCTTTCCTACAGGGTTGCCGGTGTAAATACAGGCTGTCTGGAAGGGTGGTGCGTGCCTGCAGTCTCAGCTACTGGGGAGGCTGAGGTGGGAGAATTCGCTTGAACCCGGGAGGTGGAGGTTGCAGTGAGAGGAGATGGCACACTGCACTCCGGTCTGGGTGACAGAGTGAGACCCTGCCTCAAAAAAAAAAAAAAAAAATTGATAAATAAAAACAGGCTGTTCAACAAACTTGAATTTTGGATAAACAACAGACAATTTTTTCAGCCTAAGTGTGTTCCAAATGTTACATAGGAGATACTTGTATTTAAAATCATCCACTGTTTATCTGAAATGCCGATGTAACTGGATGTGTTGTATTTGTATTTGCTGAATCTGCCAGCGCGTCTTCTCTTCCCTCTCACTGATTGGATGGAATTTAGTGGTTAAGAGGATAGCCTGGGGTCCAGACCACTCGGAAGACCTGATAGCTGTGTGAATTTCAGCAAATGACTTAGCTTTTCTCTGTGCTTAGTTTTCTCATCTATAAATGAGGATAACAATAGAAGCAATTCACCTTTTAGTCAGAAATAAATGATTTAAGGCATCACACCACTTAGTAATTTTCTCAGTTTTTTTCAGGTTGCTGTCACAAAATGAGAAATTTATAGACAATAGAAATTTATTTTGCACAGTTCTGGAGGCTGTGAGGTCCAAGACCATGGCACCAGTAGATTTGGTGTCTGCTGAGGGTCTAGTCCCATCGATGGCAGCTCCTTGAGGCATCCTAGCATAAGATATCTCAAGTGTCCCCTTCAGTTTCTTTTATAACAGCACCAATCCATTCGTGAGAGCCAAGTGTTCATGACTCAATCACTTCCTCAAGGCATCTTAATATTATCACATTGGGTCTTAGTTTCGAACCTACGAATTTTGGAGGAACACATCCATTCAAATCACAGCAGCAGTTGAGTAAATACACAACACATGTTAGCTATAGTTACTTTTAGAGATGTTCCTCATATCTAAGACAATCACATTTACAGTATTGTGGCAGCTATTTTGAGAACCAAATGAGATGGTATACCGATCGCATTTAGCATAGAGAATGCCTTCCTTAACCAAAATAGCTACACTTCTATGAAGGTTTGTGTGTCATCAGAACCCTTTCATTTATTTTAAAGGATTGTAGACGTCTGAAGACGCAGCACTTTGTGCTATAACTACTGAAGATGGATTTTTGAAAGGTCCCCAGAGAGAAAGAGAAATAGAGGATTTAGCGTGCAGCTTTCTTCCCAACCCTCTGATGATATACACTTGTGGTTGAGCTTGTAAATTTATTGAGAAATTCTGAGTCCAGGGAGAGTCAGCAATTTGGCCAAAGCCAAGCCAGTCCATGGTATAAGTCCAAGGTATAGAAAAAGTAGGACCTATTTCTTGGGTGAGTGAGGCTTGAAGGCTTGAGGCGTGGAGAGCAAGAGTCTCTTGTTGTCCACGGCTATTTGACTGGTTTATGTGGCTGTGTCTCCCAGCCCCCACTCTCTCAAACTCCAGGAACTTCCTCACAGGGGATGGTGGGAAAGGGGTGTGGTGTTTCCTCATGGGGGCGTGAGTATGGCAGTCGGGCTAGACAGCTCCCCAGAGGCTTCTTTGGGGGTTAAGGAATCCTCCCACATGGCTCATTCACCCCCAGGGAAGGGCTTGAACACTAGGGAGAATAGTTATTCATGAAGAGCCCCAGCTATGTGAGAGGAACTGTCAAATGTAAATTCAAGATCTAATACTTTTTATTATCTACGAACAGCTGAGATATTGCAGGTCCCTGAACATTGGAATCTGCAGATCCCGAGAGCTATGTGCGTGCAATATTGATGAGACTTCCATCCTGTCATCGATTTTCTAAGTTGGAAACCATTAGAAAAAGGACAAAATGAAATAGACTTTTTCTTTCTGTCCTATTATCTACTCCAGAGATTCTCTGTGGGGCCATCCAAATAGAGCATACTTGTTTGCCTATTTCAAGCAAAGGCTGGAGAAGAGAAAAGAAAGCCCAGAGCATACTCTTTGGACTGGGCTTTGGCTAGAGAGGAAACCAGGCAGGGATGAAGAGCAAGGCCAAATATAGACTCTTTCTGCTCCTTTGGGATGTAAGTGTGCACCAACGTTAGAACCACAATATGTCAGAACTGGAATGTAGCATCGCTATCTGATATGTAGATAGATATCTGATACGTAGGTAGATATCTGATACATCTATTACAACCTGTCAGTTTCCACTGAAGGAAGCCAAAGCCCAGAACAGTCTGGAGACGTCCGTGAGGCCGTTTGTCTGGTCAGAGGTAGAACTGGAGTGAGAGCCTTGTTCTTTTGTCCCCTTTTCGATTGTTGGTTTAATTAATTAATTAATTTTAGAGATAGGCTTCCCTGTGTTGCCCAGGCTGCCACGCAGTGGTGCTATCATAGCTCACTGCAGCCTTGAACTCCTGTGTTCAAATGATCCTCCCACTCCATCCTCCCAAGTAGCTGAAACGACAGGCAGGCGCCACCACGCCCAGCTAATTTTTAGTGTTTTGTAGTGATGGGGGTCTCACTCTGTTGCCCAGGCTGGTCTTGAACACCTGGCCTCAAGTGACCCTTCTGCCTTTGCCTCCCATAGTGCTAGGATTAGATGTGAGCTACCAAGCCTGGCCTTAGTTGGTTTTGTTCAAGGACTGTTGCCATCCTTTTACAAGTGCCAAGCTAAAATTTGCTGAAAGCTTGAATCTGACAGAGAGGAGGAGCTGAAGGCAGCATGCACCAACGTTGCGGGGTTGAGGGTAACTTTAGGAAATGGAGAAATGATTGAGACTGTACTTCAGATGCTCGCATACCTCAAGAGTCGGGGTAGTTTTGAGATTTGGTTTATCTCATCTGCGACGTGTGTACAGGTGAGTGATGGACATGGTAGGAAGAGGTTGGGACAGGGAGGGAATCAATGGATACCTCACAAAATGAAAGCGAAGCTTAGGTTGTGAGTCCTGCCTGCCCCGTTCTGTGAACCAGCTGGGGAGGTCCAATCATGCACAGAATCATGAGATAATGGATGACTCACCATGTTGGAGGTAACCAATTGCTAAGCAGTGTTTTATAATCTAAAGTGTAACCAGTCTTTCTGATCCTTGGGTTAACCAGATTCTGCTATGAGCCACTCCAGTAAGGAAAACTTTGTGTGTTTGTGTGTTTGTTTGTTTGTTTGTTTTGAGACAAGAGTTTTGCTCTTGTTGCCCAGGCTAGAGTGCGATGACACCATCGTGGTTCACCACAACCTCCGCCTCCCGGATTCGAGTGGTTCTGCCTCAGCCTCCTGAGTAGCTGGGATTACAGGCACGCGCCACCCCACCAGGCTAATTACGTATTTTTAGTAGAGATGGGGTTTTTCCATGTTGGTCAGGTTGGTCTTGAACTCCTGACCTCAGGTGATCCACCCACCTCGGCCTCCCAAAGTGCTGGTATTGCAGACGTGAGCCACCCCACCTGGCCAGGAAAACCGTTTTATCTCATTAAGATGGCACATTTGGTCTGTAGAGATACTGACTCTTAACTGTATAATATTCCTGTTTAACAGAAGACAAAATGCCAGTAGTTTACAGACAATTTTTTACAATTTAAAAATTTTCATTCAGAAACTGCTGTCATATGGCTGTTGTCCCAGGAATAGACTGTGAAATAGTTTTCTAGTAGCTTTATAGTCACAGCTGCTGTATTTTCTTTTTCAGTCAATTTTCAGATGTCTTTTCTTTCCTCTGTCATGTCTTCCAGGGCCAGACATTTATTTGTAATATTCCTCTTTAGTGTTGTGACATGGTAAAAGCTTTCTGTTGAAACTGCTCCCTATAACCCAAATGTGAATAAGTAATTAAGGACTGTGATTTCCACCCTACCCAGGCAATGTGTAAACAAATGCTAATCCTGACTTTTGTGAACCACTGAAGTAACAATCAGAATGTCAAAAGTCCCCACACCCTCGGAGGGTCTGGAGCCCCTCACCCCCACCCCTGCCCCTCACCCTCACTCCTGAGGTGGTTTTACGGGTATGAAAGGTCTTAACACTCTCCTTTCGGGGCCACGGGTTGGAGAGATGTGAGTCCTCCATGGCCGCCGGCAATAAAGACCCTGCAGTTTGGCATACTTTTGTCTTGGTGCAGACTTTCCATGTTCTGGCCTATATAACGGTGTCACATTCATAATAACTGAAGATGCTACACTGTGCTCTGAACTTCAAAGATGAGAAAGACAGGCCTTTTTCTAGAAGGAGCACCCTATTTAGTGGGGGGTGTGGCTTGGGGGAGCGGCAGTCGTGGGTGGGGAAGAAGTAGAGGAAGTGGGAGAAGGAGGTGATGAAATAGGGTCATAAATCCTTTACCTCAGGGCAAGGTAGCAGCAGTGCCAAAGGCAAGTACCCCAGCATGCTATGTGTGTGAGCTGGAGATGAAATCCACTTGGGGGTAGCCTTAAGGAAAGAAAGGGAGGAATTAGAAAAGGTTGCCTATGTTAATAGAAGGTGGCATTCCAACAGGTCCTTGAAGACAGAGTCAGCACAATGTTGCAAAGCTCAGAACAACAGGGAGGAAGGAATAGACCAGTTTGACTGAAAGTAGGTTACTTGGCCGGGCGCGGTGGCTCACGCCTGTAATCCTAGCACTTTAGAAGGCTAAGGTGGGTGGATCACCTGAGGTCAGGAGTTCAAGACCAGCCTGACCACCATGGTGAAACCCCATCTTAAAAAAAAAAAAAAAAAAAGAAAAGAAAAGAAAGTAGGTTACTTGAGGGAGCTGGGAGAGATAGGATCGGAAAAATGTTCTGGGAGAACTTTTGTTGAGAAGGAGTTTGGTCTTCAGTTGACAGGCAATGAGAAAGTCTTGGAAATCGTTGAGCTAGGCTAGAGACCCAGTCAGATAACTACCGTTGTTTTTCTCTGTGACATCTTTACTAGAAACAAATGGCAAACAAGCTAGCTGATGGGGCGATCTCATTTAGGTCAAGGAAACTACATTGTGACACAGAACTCACGACATCTTACCTCCTATACTTTCTACATGTTTGTCACTTTCTACATAAATGTTTTTCATATGAATGGCCTGAGAGGCTGTGGAGTACTGCTGAGAGAATCCTCGGAAGAAGATGTGTGCAATGACGTGGAGGAATTGTAGAGGATTTGTGCTAAGCGAAAGAAGGCAGACCCAAAGATTTACATGCTGTGCATTCATTTCTATGACATTCCAAAAAAAAAAAAAAAAACGCAAAACCATAGAGAAGTAAAACAGAGCAGTGCCTGTCGGGGATTAGGGTTGGGGGAAAAGATCTGATAGACTTCAAGAGGAAGGAATTCTTTGGGGTTTTAGAGTTGTTTTGTTTATTTTGGTGGTTACAAGAATCTATGCATGTGTTATAGTTCATACAACTTAACATCAAAATCTTTATGTAAATTTAAAACACAAATATACAAGGAAAAGAAGGTTTGATTATGTTTAGATAATGTTTTTTGATGTCCAGTTCTTCAAAAACTGGTAATTTCTTTGTAGTATGTATAGCAAGTATGTACATATATGTGTATATTTAACTGAATATGCATATATATTATTCAATAATAAATTATCTTACTATGGCTATAAAAGAAAGCCTACTATGTTTTCTCAGATATTCAGGGACTTTATTAGAGATCCCACTGTCCTTGCTGTATTAAATATCTATGACACTTGTGAATAGTATGTTAATTGTTTTTACAGTGATTACTCTTTAAATATTTCACCTTCTAAGATTTCCTTGCACATTCCTCTTCCAATCTTGTTTGTTAGAAATGTGTTTAATAAAGTTTTTGATGATAATCATATTAATAGAAACTTCAAATCAGACTGGATCTCACAGATTTTGATTTAGTCATGTTCAAATAAATGAAGCTAGCTTTTGAAGTCTGGTTGTCACTAACCCTTTTCTATCAGCGGGGAATCTCAATGATAGGTGACTGTGTTTTCAAAGGACAGCTCCTGCACATAATCCAAATCAAAGTCTCAAACCACATTATCCATGTGCTGAGGCTGGAAAGTAAAGGGCTTTGTTGTTTATTATAGCCCAGGATAAAAAGAGGGACTGACCTTTTACAGATTACAAGTTTTCCAAAATGATTTCATTCCATGTTTCCTTTGAAGCTTTTTTTCTCTTACTCTAACTCACTGCGTGTTTTTGACTAAAATAACGCTTGATGCTTTTAAAATTACGCATTGCCTTTTGACTTAAACCTATGTTTAACTCTGTAGAATAATAGGTTACTGGGTCTGAGTGTCGTGCTCCTCAACTCCACCACGTTTATAGTTTGCATGTTAATAGGACGGTTCTCCCAGCCAGAGAGGGGGCCTCAACAATCCCTAACTTCTCTTTAGAGGCAAAGGGCTCCAGCCACAAACCACACGAATTCCTTTCGGGCATGGGATGGAGGGAACAATTTGGATGTGCACGGGTGTTTTTAGTTTCGTTCTCATGGATAGCTGTCACTGATGATAAAGAGTGATACGTGTTGTTAGAGTTATTTTTAAATTAGCAAAATTTGGTGGATGAGATTTCAAGGTTCTTAAAACGTTCCAGGGCACTGCCTTCATCAGACATATTTGGAGCACCTTCACTTTTCAGCTGTGTTTCCACTGCAGAGTTCCTCATTTCTGTCTCATCGTCGTAGGGCCAAACCCTGCCGGAACCTGCACTGTATTCAGAGACTGTTCCTGTTCTCATCCCTCCACTTACACAGTTGCAGAACTGACTGCCAGAGCAGATATATTTAAAATTCTTAATGGATTATCATTGTTCTCAGAAGAGAATCCAAAATTCTGAACCGGTCTCAAAAGTCTGGAGAACTTGCCCATTCTAGGAGCTGCGTTTCTTACCGATTTCATTCCCCACCTTAGTTCTTCCTTCCTGAGAGCTTTGGTACATGTTCGCTCCACCTGGAATGCTCCTGTTCTTAGACTGCTCTTTCCTTCTCAGTCTTTGTACGCCTGGTTGTGCAGCTGTCCCCAGAGATGACATGGCAGAGCCCCAAGTCTGAGTCAACACCCTTTTGTATTAATATCTCTTTTTTCTCCTTAGTAGCACCTGTCAAAATTGCAATTGAGCAATTAGGAAATTATTTGTTGGTTGCTTTCCCTGATAGGATCGGCCCATGCTTCTCGGGAACATTTCTGTCTATTCCCCGGTGTTTTCCAGAGCTTAGGCGAATGCCTTGTTTACGGTGTTTGTGCAGTGAGTATTCATTGAACAAATAAATGAAAGACCAAGGCAACCATATTGAATGAGCAAAGTGGTAAAATGAGAATCAGCACAAATTGTCCATTCTGCACATCAGTGGGCCTCAAACCATACGATGCACATGCATCACCTGGGGAGGCTCCATTCTCAGAAACAATGACTTTATACATTTGAAGCAGTGTCCAGGAAGCTGCATGTGGAACGGGCATCTTGCGTGACATCTTGCATCTGATGCAAATGCTTGAGGACCGTTCTTTGAGACACACTGCTGCGAAACGCGGATTTCCACATAAGCCAGCCCAAGGTTATTTTAACACTAACACTGCGTTTGTGCAAACTCAGTATAGTGATCGAATTCAACATCACCAGCTTGAAAATAGATTTACAACTTAGAGAACATTTTAAAAAACGGACTTCTTTTAACTGAGTAGTAATTAAAATGTGGAAATATTCGAAAAAAATTTCATGATAAAATCGAGTTAGAACACTTTATTTAAATAGTAAATAAGCTTATGATGTTGTTTAAACTAGTAAATCCATGAATGTTGGTAAGCATATATGTCAATTATGATGACAAAGACTAATTTTCCCAAATCCTTTATTATTTTTAAATGAAGAACCAATATAGATAATTCATATAGATAAAATACACATTCTTATAAAGGCACATTAAATCAGCTCCAGCGACCCCAGTTGATGTTCTCTTAAATTTTTACTTTATGCCATATATTTATTTAATATGATATACTTAGCATAATGTTATGTGATGTAATTATAATATAATGTTGTCTGAATATCATAACTTGATTAGGTCACAACATATGAATTTTGCAGGGACATATACATTCAAACCATAGCACCAAGCTTTCCCCTCCCTATCTCAATAGCGTGGGCAGCAGAGATATACACAATTCTCCTTGGCAGCCATCAGTTCATGTCTCTGCTGTCATTTCTGGCACACACATCTGTGTGTGTTTTAGGTGGGATGACAGTGGCTTTATACATCTTTCAGTATGATCGCCTCATTTCACACCTGGTGATGGTGACTCTGAATTAATATGAAAAGAAAAAATTCAGAGGCAAAAGATGATGGTTTTCACTCTTTATTTAAGTTTGCTTTACTTGTGCAAAAGCCTGATGCTGATTGGATTCTCTGTGCTTTTCCTTTAATGGGATAACGGAAGGTGAAGAATAAGAATATGACTGAGGGAATGTGTGGCCCTGACTGGCCGTTTTTTTATCGCATTTTATTTTAGAAGTGCCATCAATGTATTTTCTTGGCTCTCATGTCTTTTCAAGAACATTGTAACATTTATACATTGTAACATGTATAAATGTAACATTTATACATTGTAATTGTCTGGGAAAATTACCACCTTATTTAAATTAAGTGTCCTTAAAAAGATCAGCTTTTAAGATGATGAAAGACTCATTTTCCCACATTAATCCTTTATTTTATTATTTTTAAATGAAGGACAAATATGGATACTATAGATTTTGAGGTAGATAAAACACATGTTCATATAAATGTACATTAAATCATCAGCTCCAGCTATCCCAGTTGATGTTTTTTTAGGTTTTTACTCTATCTGTATTATACATTTGTATAACATAACATTAACTCCATTAATACATTAATAGATAATAGCTCTCTAAACTAAAGTCCATGTAGCAGTTATTGCTTCAGAGAGTCCATGGAAGTGATCGGGTTTGTCAGTTCTTAGTACTAATAATCCCGTTCTTGGACTCAGCATCCAGTTCATCCCGTGTCGCCTGCTGGTTGTGGGTTGAGTTAAAACCAGTTAGAAGAACAAAAATGGCACAAAGGATCATTTTTAAGTTGTAATTGTGAGTATC